CTGAGGTTGTGGGAAGAACAGAATTGTCGATCCAAAAGCACCAAGCAAACCAAACTGATGAACTGAAATGGGATCACAACGCAACCTAGATTTTAAGCTGACCAACCAAATTACACAAAAGATGCCTCGGAAGCAACCAATCACTTAAAGGCTATAGGCTGCTGTTTGGAAGCTTTATCAGCAGTGTTATCTTAATCGGTGATAAAACGTGATAAACGCGATAAAACTGCTAATCTCAACGAACAGACCAGAAACCAAGCAACATACGCGAGATATATTAGCAACATAGCGAGAGACTACGTATCATTTACCACGTTCACCTCCATGGTCAGAGGACGGGATTCTATCTGTATGTGACCCCAGATTTCGGCCAGTTCAAGCCGTCAAACAAACTTTCCTGTATTGAGTAGATCCGAAGATGATCAGAGAGCCAAGTTTGGCTCATACTCTTTTCCTAACCAAATTAGTTCAGTCCCTTACGAGTGTTAATCACACTAACTATCAAAAAAATCTTTTGTTTACTTTACCAAATCAAGCGATAGTTTGGCTTATATATACAAGCTGTATGCAGTACCACGTGTGAAGTTTCAAAACGGATAACATCAGTTGGCAAACTGAATGGGTGTCAACACGAGACTCAGCTGCATACCAGATCGAGGTAGGTCGATGGTTAAGGTGGAAGCACACTAACACAACTGGGCATTGTTCGAAGTTAACTCCGGCCTCTCGACTGCTTCTGTTTAGATTTGGTCAACCTGGCAATATCCAACCTTCGTGCTCCCATCGAGTGGCCGAAAATGGCGCTACAGCTATCCGATGATGTCTCTTCAACAGAATGTGTTGCACACAGCCAGCCTCGAGTTTCGGTTTCATGTTTCAGATTCAACCGAGATTCAGTTGAGCCTCCCGTAAACACTAACTTACTATGTAAACAAGTCTTTTTTAGCCATTGCGTGTAATACGGTGGTGTTCAAGTGAAATATACAGTTGACGGCGACTCGGGGACTCCATTAGACCCATGGAGGCAGAAACTGGTCCTGGAATCTCGAGCGATTTTAAGTAGTAGTGTTCCGTAGAGCAGAGCATATATCGAGTCATTTTCAAGCGTAACAAGAAAGCAATCGATCTTTCGATGGAGTCGTCACAAACTGTTCAAACAGTTTAAGAGTAGGCACTTCTAATCTACTGCTCACAAACTTTGACTTAAATAGTTTCATTGGGCTGAATAACATCTTATCAACGTCTCAGGACTGGTTTCTCCAACAAACTGTGTGCACGTGGATGGTGGTACTTTGACCTCGATACGCGTCAAAAGCTAAGTAATTTGATGGAGTTGCTAATCTGAATACAACGATCAACGACCCATCAACCAGTGTTTAAAAAGGTTCAACTTTGGACTCCACCACACTGAGCTGCTGGTTCCCATAAAACAGCAGTAAACTCAAGACCGAATCAGATGGATTTGAATTAGAGTAAGTTTTACAGCTCCACTGATTGATTATTTTGAGTGGTTCACCTTCATGTCTTCATACTTAAGTATAAGAAACTGTGTTTCACCGTCCTACACATGCGTCACGAAGTCAATGATGTTACAGTTTGGACGTTGCTGGAATGGAGCGATCTATCTAAACACGGCAGCTATTTGCGAAATCGTTTTTTTTAATAAAAATCTTATAAATTTGACATAGAAATGCATCCAAAAATGGATTTTTCACTGAGTTATTCGTGGAATTTTTAAGACCAGTTAGTCCTCGAACGGGGTTGCAAAATGTAAACAGGTACAAAACTTGCTGCATCATCATGCAAGAAACGCTCTCAGCTGCCATTCTTTCGTGGTATTCGACCTCGGTTTCTCCAACGAATGAATAACATATCCACGCTCAAATGTACATCTCACCATTCTGAAACAGAAATGCCGAATCAGAACAAGAAATGGATGGGAAGCGGAACAACCAAATGGATAAAACTGGTATATTGACTAGTATTTCGTTAAACTTGGCAAGCTTATGCCATTGAAAGACGCAGTGGAGACAGCCCCGCCGCATCAGGATACCGTCTTTTATAGTCTCAACGGCAGCAATGTCCGTGGAACAAGGAAACACGAGAGATCTCCACTGAAAAATTCTCAGCTCTCCTCCCACTACTAACGAACTCCGAAGTGAATCCGAGGGTCTCTCACTCTGGAAGTCGGTCGACACATGATCACGTGATGTGACTTCTACCTTCTGCCCCAGTGTGAGTTAAACACAATTCGAGGCTGAGCGGTATGGTCTTCAACGGAGAGAGACCAAGAGGCCGCAGTTTCAAATCGCCATAGAGATACGCACCGCTGCTCATTCCCAATAAGAATGAAATAGATATGTAGTACTTTTCGTCTTTTCAGCAGAGATTGGCGCCACTTACAGTACAGAAGTTCCATTGGACAATTCTCAAATCTGTTGATAATACCGGACGATATAAAAGCCACATTAGACAAGCGGAACATATGGTGCATAGCTGTAGTCATGCAATCTGGCAGTCGCAAAGTCATGCTTGAGAGTTTTCGAGAACGTTAAACTGACTCTCTACAAAAGATCTTTAAAGTCTCAAGTCAGTGAACTGCGTATGGTCCGTGATCAACCAGAATCCTCAAGCGACTTGTGGAAGTGCCGGGAACCTAGACAACCCAGCAAGGCACTCATGCTGTGATTTGTTAACACATCACAAGTTCGTGACATTGGTAATTATTCGTATAAGAGAGGGAGTAATACACGGGTCGATGAGTCACTGGGGGTCAGATGACTGGGGTAAACATCAGAAAATCCGATGGATCCGACTTGTTTGCAGCAAGGAAAGAATCCCAGGAGTTATCCGAACGAACAGATAAAGCGAACGTATCATTCTCGACATGTTCAGCCACTGGCTTGTATATTGGTGAAAAAATAAACATCAGAACAAATAGGTGCGTATACGTGAGTAAACCAAGAGATGGGAAGATGGGGAATATAACACGCTGGACGGTGTAGACGAATTGCATTAAAAAAACTCGTCAACTGTGAAGACACAGAACTTTCTCCTCAAACCGCTCGTCGTCATGGTGAGTGTCATTCTATACTGCCTGTATTCTTGTCAACTACGGAGTCGAATGAGTGTTTTTCCCTGAGTTCTGCATTGACTAACAAGTACTGCCTGTATCCATTTAAACGGTGAAATGGCACGCGGCAAATCACTCCGAATGTTTCGGAAAAACTCCTATGAACCTCTCGTTTATGATCCCCTCCAACAGAATGTACTGTAAAATGGCCCCGTTATGCTTCGGTTGGAACGACATTCGAGACATCTCAGTATTCCTATTGAAAGAATGCATCAATTGTAAGTTTGCTGAAAACTCTCGGACGGTAGGGAGCTGTCGACTTGCTTTCGGCAACCTTATTAGTAGTATGTAGGAAACTGCGGAAATAACCCGCGGCATCTCAAATAGCATGCCAACTGAAACATGAGGCGACCTTTGTGCAACATTTTCAGCTTAAGAATACTAAAACCTAGAGATTTATTTGAGCCTCCTGTTCATACCAGTGCAACTCGCGGATGAGTGTACTCCGTTTCATGAGTATAATTTGGTGTTTAATTAAAATGCAAGGTTGATGGGAACTCGGAAACGATGATTATCGGATGGGCCTAAGAAGAAGGAACTCGGTAGTGAGCTGCTGAGTAACCTTATGACCACCATGTTATTCCAGGAGATGTTCAGTTCTTACCCATGGAAGTCTTCATTTATCTGCGCCTAGGTTTTTTCAAGGCATCCTTACTTACATAAGATGTCCCTTCCGCTAAAGAAGGCTCAGTGCAAACATAGGTTCAATAACGTGAATCAGTTGTCATATGAAATCACAACTAGGGTTGTGTGAGCGTATCAAGTACGTTTTTTGCCAAAAAAAATCAGGAATAAAACTGTTGTTCTCGTTTACCGCGTCGTTCTGACTGGTCTGTGTGCTTGATTCAAGCCCATGTTAGCAAACAGCTCAAAGGTTGAGGCTTGAACTTATTGACGGTTCGAAACCAACCTTGGCATTTCAACTGTCTCTGAATAACTTGGGCATTGTTAGCAAACAGCTCAAAGGTTGAGACTTGAACTTATTGACGGTTTGAAACCAACCTTGGCATTTCAACTGCCTCTGAATAGACTTGGGCATCCTGGCAGCATCTCGGATCTCGTGCTTCCTTTAGGTAGCATGGCAGTTGGGTTCCGGAAGGTTGCTACAGCTGGACAGTAATAGTCTGACCAAATGACTTCCATTAATAGGAGATTTAAGCGTGATACGAGTCGGTAATCTTGAGTGCCTGATGCCGTTCTGTAAACACATCACAACCACAAAAGTAGTGAACCCGAAATTCCTGACGATTCCGCTTCTTATAATCTAACGAAAGAATGAAGATAACGGCTTTTGGCTAATCAGACGGATTCTCCATAGTCGGAATCAGAGCGTGTGTCACGAGTTACGGTCCCCAGGAGATGTTTTACTTGCTGGACTGCAGGGATGCACCATTTTGAAGTTAGGAAGAACTGTTTCCGGAGCAATCTGGCGTGTTCGGGGCATATCAGTTAACTTATTCGTAGCCAGTTGGGTCAACAAAACAGAAGAGGATCTTTTCGACCTTCAACGACCAACAATTCGCGTACGGCATATCCGGACAAAGGCCTGCAGCCAATTTCAAGGTGTACATGTGAGGACTCTGGTCGATAAGACAGAGTTCCGGCTTGGGGTACTCCAGCTTATAACTGTATCAGCAATATCGCCAGACACTGACTTAAGTATATACATAAGTTAGGGTTGGAAATTTTTCCCACTTGTATTTTACTTTCCCTCTGTGTTGCCTACACCTGCTGCTGCCGCCGAAAATAGCAGTATGACCTGCATATTCTTCTCAACCACCCTTTTCCGACAGTTTTTTGTTTCAACACAGTGCACAACTTTGAATTTGAATTCAAATCCTTCACATTTGTTGTCGATTTCTGTTACAGATTGCCTAACCATGAATGAAATGCTACACAATGTCACTAATCCTCACAGCCCTGCTGATTGCAATTTCGTCTACTTCTGGTAGCTTCAGCGCAATCGACCAAAGCGCACCATTGGTGGTGGTAAATAATCGACCTGAAGGACGATGTGTTGGCAGATTTGCACCTGTACTGGCCATCTTGAAGAATGGAAGTAAGGTGCTCGAGAGTATCCCGGATTTACCCGAGCCCCTACCGGCTTGTCGAATGGCTTGCTTGCTTCATTATGCTTGTTGGGGTTTTGCACCGAAAACGGAAGAAAATCAGACCAACGTGTGTGAACTATACCCGAAGGGAGCAATTGAGGTGCGTCACCAGTTTTCAAACCCGAGCAGTTTTACATCACCCTTATTAAACACAGTGTACCCGTTCTCTTGGCCGATTTTCAAAAGTTTTTAGTGAAGTAGATGGGACAAGCTAATAAATAGTACCTGCAGACAGCGATCGCTCATCGGTGTGTTGCACACATATCTTCTAGTGCAAATGACCAGATGACCCGTCCATTGCGGACGGCCAGAGTTCAAATTCGACCACTGATATCTCCAAAGTAGCCCGTCAACCATTGTCTCGACATTTGTGCACACATGTTTCATGCGTAAAAGGTGTAAAAAGATACCTTAATCATTGCACCCATTACATAAAGATTGTAAAAGTGTAGTATTTCCTGAGTGGTGGCCTTATTTTCATGTTTCCGTGGTTCATCAGTTGCCAATGGAGATAAAGATGAATGCAAATGCCGGTCAGTGAGTGGTATTCACTGTTTCTGTAAGACATTATCATACAAAGACGTTTACTTCTGGGTTTTTGGTCTGTTGACAGACTTTAGATCCAGCTGTGTGGCCTGGACACGTCACATGCTCCAGATAGAAGGATTAAGGCACCTGTGGTCTTCTCATGAGCAAATACCGTGGCGTAAAACGGGTGGACTGCAACTGTTTTCGCTTTTGACCAAAAATCATAAGTTAGGAAGCATACTAGCGACATGGGAGACCGTGTTTTGCTCAAGTAGCTGCACTCTGGCTGTCTTACACCACGGTGGTACACCACAGGTTGCACAGAGTTCACACCTACCAGGGGTGTTGTCTGGCTGAAGAACCCTTTGGTGCTTAGACGCCATGCCACCCGAAGGAAGCACAGGGGCTCAGATGCTGCCAGGTTGCCCAAATCTTGACTGGGACAGTTGTGATACAGAAACCGGGTTTGAAACGCGGACGTTTCGGTCAGCAGCTTTGCGCTTCGACCACTGAGCCGTCTTGGGCTCTACTACGGTTAATGATATTTATATGTCAAGAAAACAACAACATTCAGTTCAAAGCGGATGATTTTTCAGTTCGAGATCATCCACATACCATTGATTGCGGTATCTGGGAGAAGATTTACCCTGGCGTTCGCAAAGCATTGGGATTGTGGCTGCTTTCTTTAGGAACTTTTAGAAAGAACTTTATCTTGAGAGAGGAAGAAATGGTCGGTTTATAGCCATGTTCATATATACATATATATATATACCCTTCCTTTATGAAATATACTGCGATATCTCGAATATCGTGCCAAGTGAATCATGAGGCGGCCTGTGTGCAGCACATTCAGCTGGAGAACNATAATTTCAGTTCGTCTGTGTGGGAAGCTGCATAAGTTCTAGTGGACTGGTAGAGGACGAAATCACTTCCCGAATCGGAAAGGGCAGAGCAGCGTTTGCCACACTGACATTTGTGGCGCTGATGTAATATTAGCTTGACTGTCAAGGGTGGGGTGTACAATCCCGCGGTCGAATCTGTCCTACTGTATGGATCAGGGAAGTGCCTGCGTGCGGAACATCTTCGGCGACTCTATTCTTGGTTATTGGCACCTCAGAAGCGTTGCGTAAGTCCGGTGGGAACATGAGATCAGTAATGCTTAAGTACCGCAGATGGTTTTCTGGAAACTTCACTCGACAGACTAACTGGTCACACCTGGCAGATCACGCTGGTTGAGCCACGTACTTCGTATGCCCAAACTGTGCTTACTTCGCAGAGTCCATGTGTTCGATGGAGACTTCCCATGGGCGGTCAGTCCATGACTTAGAGGCGAAGCACGACAGCCCTCAACAACCGAATCAATCCAGTCGATAACTGCCGTATTTCCGATTGTGGGTTAGCGCGACGAGTCACACTAATGGGTAATGAACCTGATTGAATTGGCCGTCACGCAGTCAATGAAGATCTAGCATCGGAATTGTGAACCTCACTGCATGGCGGTTACTTTCTGCCATACTGGGGAAATAGGCCTATTCTTCGTCAGTTCACAGATTGGGTATGACCTCCAACGAGTGGCTCTCATTCCTTTATTCTCTTTATCCTCGGTGAACGATGCTGTGGTAGCTGCAATCCCTGCACCTCGGAGCACGTTTTTGATTTCAACAACAGAACTGAATCAAACATAAGACAGCAGGGCGAGATCGTAGCTTCCTAAGAGCTTCCATATGATTATGTTTCTGTTTCCAAGCGACGGGTTTTATAAGCACTGTACTAGGTCGGGAAAAGGGCTTCGTGCTGGCAAAGCATTAACAAGGTAGTTCAACCGAATACTTAAGAATGAGCCCTGTTTCAAAACATGAACCTCTATGATTGTCATCATTTGTAGAGGGCCATTATTATGAGACACATTATCTAATTCCCAGTTGATATAATGCAACAACTGACGACTGTGGCGATAAGGCTCGACAATACTGGCTACTGCTTAAACGATGAGTAGTATAACGGTAAGTCCCCTAGATTCTGAGTCCGACATTCAACCGTTCAGATGACCTCTCAAGCGAGAATGACTATAGATGTGGTTTCTACAGATTCAACAACTATCTACAACCAGCCAAAAACTTTTCATCACGTTTCCCACATGCGTGACACTACCAGGCTTGGAGGTTCTGATAAGCGAGTAAATCAATCGACATGACCAGGACATTTTTTTCGCGAACATAAAAATACAATTTATATAAATGGGGAGCAGAAACAATATTGAACCGGCATTGGTAGGCTGATTGCTGCAGTGCGAATGCAGCAATGCAGAACCATCGGGTCAAATGTCAGATTGCAATCCTGCATCATCAATAGCCAGACATCTGCGAGATACCGGTCGTTTGGCTGACCCGGTCAGCCCCGTCCGAATCCTACTGCACAAAAAAGCCTCAAGGTTTTAGCGATAAGCGAAGCATTGCTGAACAAATCACATCACCCCAGACTATATGTAAAGACATTGAAGCAAAACGATCTGGTTGATCCAACATGTATAAGGTGAATTGCAGAAGTGAGCCAATCAGTGCATTTAGCATTGTTTCTACTCCTCATTTGCGTGAGATACGTGTTTTGCCTCTGCGATGGAGAGGGTAAAAGAAATGCCCAGTTGAAGCAAACGATCTGGTTGATCCAACATTTATAAGGTGAATTGCAGAAATGAGCCAATCAGTGCATTTAGCATTGTTTCTACTCCTCATTTGCGTGAGATACGTGTTTTGCCTCCGCGATGGAGAGGGTAAAAGAAATGCCAACATATTACAGCATATTTCTTCTGTCAGATCTATTGAGATGGACAGTGGGGACGTAACCAGCACATTTACTGGGTTGTCGTTTGAGCCGTCGGAAAAACCAATCCCATTGCTCAAGCCTGAACCACTTTGCCCGTTCAGACGTGATAGTTTAGGTGCACCGAGGCTGCACTGGTGGACTAGTGGCAATAAACTCGCCTCGCACATCTGATTTCCGGAGTTCGAGCTCCATAACTTCCGAGGAAGCAAAACTCAGGTCCAGTGCTTCCTCCTTTGGGTGTGCATCTGCCCTAGGACAAGGAGAGGACCGTCTGAGCGTGAGTGAATTGAATGTGAAATGATAAATGTTTCTCTTTCTATGCTTTCCTTCAGGAAAGTCCAAGCGGACAGCTTGCCTATCAGTGGAAGTGCGACGAGAATAGTCCAGCTTGCATTTCAGTCAACAAATCACGATGTACGGGCTACTGGGTTCGAGAAACCAAACTTTCATTGACCATAGAAATACTTCAAAAGTGGAACGTGACACACAACCTAACTCCGGATGCCGGTCAAGCACGGAAGGATCAGTGTCCTCCAATAATGCAAACAGGTGTGGGTTCATTCGAGTGCAGAAATTTGTGTCAGGAGAACCGTCATTGTACCACAGCCATCTATTTCGACTCCAGTGGACCATTTACTGTGGTGATTCCCAGGGGATGCATTCTTCAAGATGTCAATCAGCCATACCCAGAGTATAAAGAGTAAGCGAATGAAATATATTCATAGATAGATTATGGTTTCACCAAACCAGTAAACTCCTCTCGGGTCACTTTCGAGCAGGTCAACATTCTAGGCACCTCCACAATATGTAGATGAGGCGCTTAAGCAGTTTAACCAAAAGCTGTGTATTCAAATTTATGAGGTGAAAAAAGTGTATTATTCTCATTAATCAGTCCAGGTCAGTCCTACAAATAGGATATTTTTGTCAAATTAAACTCGAAGTAAATTTCTTCCTTATTTTGTCAACAAGGCAAAAACCGGAAGTAACAAAGATACTTCCTGAAAACGCTATGAACAACTGGATTTGATTGCTTCCAGAGTGATCGTTGGTTTTCAGAATGCTGTAATGGTGTAACGGTGATACTACTGACAGGGAGGCATGTGAGTAGTATGTTTGCTTCTTGTAAATTCACTTTGCGTCTCTTGAAAAGGGAGATCTGTTGCGGAATTTGTGGATTCGCTTTGTAGCATTTGCTTGGATTTGAGTATTGAATGATTTGAGTCAATGAATATCCAGGAAAGTTCAAGAAGACGCGTTCAAGGGAAGATGGATGTTCAGTTTGTGTAAATAAGATGCAAATGAGAGTTTTGCTTCCCTGTCCAATAGTCTATAACTGGTCAATTGGCATTTTCTAATAAGTGACTCCGCAGCGAAGGCATTCTTCCTTTCAATGGCAGTTTCGTTACCACTTAATGTGCTTTACCTATCTTTCATCCATTTTGTTGTAGGTGTTATTGATCTGATGTAAGGGCTGGGTTTTTGGCCAAACTTATTCGAAAATTGTAAACGGTAATCGCAACTGTTTGAGCCGAACGAAGATATCTTCCCTCGTCATGTCTGTGACTCAGTTTTGGCGACTCGTTTCCTTAAAACGTAATGATAAGGGGTAAGGTTTGTCACACTCATTTGCCCATGATACATCTGAAGTTTAACTGATTGACAAAATATCGGATGCTTATGTGGCCAATGACTGCAGATCGTCCTCGATGACGGTAGAGAATCAATAAGAGCTTAAGTGTTCGTCTTACTGAACAATTATATCTTCATAGCAGAAAAGCCTGTAATATTGAGTATTTTTACAAGACCATGAAAATTCAACGGGAACTCGACTCTTGAAAAGCCGCTCACCACAATCCCTACGGTGGTCAATTTTTAGCGTACTTCTTAATTCGCTGTACCTTAGTGGTCATTATAGAGTATGTCGTACCGAAGTGACTGAACTAATTACCGTTTGTCACGCGTAGCAAGTACGTCATTCGTGGAATGGAAGACGAATTATTCTGCAATCAAACGATGCCCCGGCAACCTCAAAACCTACAAATCTAATATTATCGGGCCAGGTTAGGTGGTATCATATTTGCCCTTGGCGCAAATGTACGGTGGTCATCGCATAACCTGCACCACAAAAATCATCTAAATCAAAAGGATTTTGTCAACGATTGACACTCGAAACACAAAAACTACAACGGCGTCAAAGCAATTTGGGTCCGATGAATCAATGGAGACGAATTTCCGTGTTAAAAAACTGTCTCATCCATATTGGGCTCATCAGTAGTACGCATCTCATGAACCACCAGGAAGAGTAGAACTTGCAACTTCCAAACTAAAACCGTTCGACCACGAACGACTAATCACCCATACTTGGAATATTGATCCAGAAAGCGGTATAGAGTCTTGTATGAAATTTCGGCTATGAAAAGTTCCGGCTAAGCACTGAATGGCCACTCAAATTTCAAAAATAAACCTTAATGGCCATTGCCGTTTAGTGACCCGTCGGCTCGAGGTTCAACTATTTCAGCTTTCTAGCAGAAAGGCGGTGAGTGTCGTGCTCTGTACACCTCTCTTCCGGATTTTTAACCAAAGAACAGTAAGCTCATGCATCACTGTTAGAAACAACGTGTGTAGCGTTTTCGACCCTTTACTTGCTGGGTAAAGCACCTGTTGAAACTTCGAACTCTCTATATCGCCTACTGGAAAAGTGGAACGACCCACGACAATAGTCATGGGTTTTTCTTCCGGGAAATCGTCATCCGCGTAGCCCGTCAAAACCGGATCACGTGACGAGGAGCGTATGGTCGAAGCATGACGGAGCTATATCTTGCATACGTGAGCTAACCATTCATGCACATATATTAAGTTGTGAGGTCACTAATCTGAAGGTTGCAAGTCTCTCCCCTGGGATCTATGAGACGTACAGTGCTATACATAAATGTAACCAATTCTCGGCTTTTTCTCACAGGTTGACTTCACTTATGAGGAAAAAACTTGCATGACCACGTGATGTGGATTGGCTTATTTCCGACTGGTCACGTGAAGGGGACACAGTTATCTGATGCAGCGACTTATCCAATCATGAGCAAATGTGACACATTTGACTGATCGATGGGTGACCGAACCGAAATGAACTGTGTTTATTCACAAGCTTGGGAACTAATGCAGGAACTCGTAATCGGCTAGCATCAGTTTGACTAATAAATACGCATCCCAGGTCATAAATAGATGTACAATGAACAGCTATGAATCCACCAGACAAATCCATAATTCGATCAGTGCCGGATAGAGTTGATAAGAAAGCTTTGCTGACACCAAGAATAACCGAAAAGACTGCGGGATTTGAGGCGACAGAAACCAGGAAATTATTGCAACTTTGCGTTATGGCAGACGCCTGAGCATCGTCGACGCTGGCCACATCAAACCGACTTCTCCCCTTCCTTACTATATTCTATGACTACCGGTTAAAACACTTCAGTTCATGGAATAAACCACATTTTCATGTTCATTGTCGCTTCTTTCTCGACTTACCTCAGTGAACAATCAGTGCAGTTACCTCCTAGTCCACTGCCAGACCTGAGTCGCAAACTTCGACAAACCCTTCGAGCAATGCCAGTATCTTGGTTCAGCACTTATCCACCTTTCTACGTTTACTGGGTTTGTTGCGAGAACTGGTGGACGCAGGTTAATTTTCAAGGGTACGAAAAGAGCGAAGAGCTTCGCTGGTGTACTCCGCAACAACGGATGACAAAAAACAGAAACAAAGCGGTACACCTGGAACCAGATTCATTAGCCAGCTGGATATACAAATGTGCCTGGAGAGGAATCTGGAGGCTAAATAAGGACGCTAGTTCAAAAGTTTTCCCTCAGTTGGATTCGTACTTGAACAGCGTCGTACCTCGTGAAAGCCTCGTGAATGAAAGTAAGCAATTGTACTTTCATAAAGATTGATGCGCTTTTGCGGAAGTAAACCTCAATTGAAATTATTTTCCATAGTCCGGCAAACACGCGTTAAATTTACAACTGGGTAGAGATTGTATTCATAAATATTCACTCAAGACGTCTGCACAGTGATCCAATATGATCTACGTTTCACTATTCTTATTATTTCGCCAGGTGAGGAATCGTGTTCTAACTGATTTCGCATCCTATAACCACTAGTCCTCCTCAAATAAATGCGACATTTACCTTTGGTAGATGTAAGCCTGTTGATCAAAGCCTGTTCTTATCAGTGGTCCTTATTAAGACAGCTGTGATGCCCATATAGTAAGCACATACATCAGATATATGTATTCTTCTTTACGCGAAAATACCTTATGGGTGCTAAAAACTCTTTCGGACGGAGTTTTTTAAACCTGTAAGACGATCCGATGAAGAGAAGGTATCCTCGAACTTCTGCACCAGTGTAGCAAACATTCACTCGTGTGCTACTGGTCAAAATGTTTGTCGCTCCCTTCTTGATACGCACCAGACGTGTGTCGCACAACACGCTTAAACCCTTCGCTGAAAACTGGATGCAACCGAGTTCCTTCGGACAGCGTACATACTGCACCATAGCTCACATTCATGCACTCAAACAATCAATCGATTGCCTCAAACAATGTCGCAGTACGCCTCTACATTACTTCGCTGGAGTGTAAATCCGTCACGTGAGCTCAGATTTAACCGCAGATAACTGGATACTGTATGGTAATCTGGGGCGAACTACAATACTGGGCGTGAAGACAGCATTACTCGATCCTACGAGAAATGATGGGGGCTAGATACACTGTGGCTAATACTGTAGTTCTTCCGACTCAGGAAGCCTCAAAAACTCTTATAAAGTACCTGTCATCTGATATTCCCATGTCTTTGGCACCTAATTTGCATTCCACAGAAACTTATGCGACAATATTTTCAACCATATCAACCTGCCATCCGTTGGGGTGAATGGAACCGAGCACAACCACTTCGCTATGCGTATTTCGGCATACATATCACCATCCATCATCCAATCCTCAGATTTTGGATCGAAGGTTTCAAGAACCGTCGAAAGACAACTTCACAGAATAATTTTGTAGCATAAAAAACAAAATGTGAAAAGTAGGCACTATCAAATTATGGAAGAGAAATTCTGTTGACATTTTCTGGCAGTTAGATCTTGGGACCTCTGAAAATCTAGCTTCGTAGGAGTAACTAATCCAAGTTCCTGGTAGTTTATCTTGCTTTTCCAGTTTAATCCATGCGGCCTTAATGGGATGGAGAGCAGGCGCANCTGGAGGCTAAATAAGGACGCTAGTTCAAAAGTCTTCCCTCAGTTGGATTCGTACTTGAACAGCGTCGTACCTCGTGAAAGCCTCGTCAATGAAAGTAAGCAATTGTAGTTTCGCAAAGACTGATGCACTTTTGCGGAAATAAACTTCAATTGAAATTACTTCCCATGGTCCGGCAAACACACGCGCTAAATTTACGATTGGGTAGAGATTGTATTCATAAATATTCACTCAAGACGTCTGCACAGTGACCCAATATGATCTACGTTTCACTATTCTTATTATTTCGCCAGGTGAGGAATCGTGTTCTAACTGATTTCGCATCCTATAACCACTAGTCCTCCTCAAATAAATGCGACATTTACCTTTGGTAGATGTAAGCCTGTTGATCAAAGCCTGTTCTTATCAGTGGTCCTTATTAAGACAGCTGTGATGCCCATATAGTAAGCACATACATCAGATATATGTATTCTTCTTTACGCGAAAATACCTTATGGGTGCTAAAAACTCTTTCGGACGGAGTTTTTTAAACCTGTAAGACGATCCGATGAAGAGAAGGTATCCTCGAACTTCTGCACCAGTGTAGCAAACATTCACTCTTGGGCTACTGGTCAAAATGTTTGTCGCTCCCTTCTTGATACGCACCAGACGCACCACCACACGCTTAAACCCCTCGCTGAAAATGGATGCAACTGTCGCTCCCTTCTTGATACGCACCAGACGTGTGTCGCACAACACGCTTAAACCCTTCGCTGAAAACTGGATGCAACCGAGTTCCTTCGGACAGCGTACATACTGCACCATAGCTCACATTCATGCACGTCAATCAATCAATCGATTGCCTCAAACAATGTCGCAGTACGCCTCTACATTACTTCGCTGGAGTGTAAATCCGTCACGTGAGCTCAGATTTAACCGCAGATAACTGGATACTGTATGGTAATCTGGGGCGAACTACAATACTGGGCGTGAAGACAGCATTACTCGATCCTACGAGAAATGATGGGGGCTAGATACACTGTGGCTAGCCTTGTAGTTCTTCCGACTCAGGAAGCCTCAAAAACTCTTATAAAGTACCTGTCATCTGATATTCCCATGTCTTTGGCACCTAATTTGCATTCCACAGAAACTTATGCGACAATATTTTCAACCATATCAACCTGCCATCCGTTGGGGTGAATGGAACCGAGCACAACCACTTCGCTATGCGTATTTCGGCATACATATCACCATCCATCATCCAATCCTCAGATTTTGGATCGAAGGTTTCAAGAACCGTCGAAAGACAACTTCACAGAATAATTTTGTAGCATAAAAAACAAAATGTGAAAAGTAGGCACTATCAAATTATGGAAGAGAAATTCTGTTGACATTTTCTGGCAGTTAGATCTTGGGACCTCTGAAAATCTAGCTTCGTAGGAGTAACTAATCCAAGTTCCTGGTAGTTTATCTTGCTTTTCCAGTTTAATCCATGCGGCCTTAATGGGATGGAGAGCAGGCGCATAAGTAGTTCAGTGCAAGACCCTCACAAAACGGGACAGAATTTAACCCCTGGAAGGGTGGCTCCTGTCGGTTTTCCTAATATAGCTAAGTTGTTCGTTTCTGAAGCCATCGATTAAAACTGATTTCTCCTGCAAGGGCGACCCAGCTATCGCGCCTCCGTGTGTCTTGTCCGGTTACATTATATTTAATAATCGTGATATTGCTAGGCCTCTCACCTTTCGTAGGACTAGATTCAATTTAACAGAGGAACTTTTGGATCCAAGTGTCTTTATTGATAAAACCACCCATGTACCACATCTGGAGATTTAATAATCAATCTGAAGGGAACCTCAGGGATATCTGAATCCATTTTGGCAAGTCGGAGGTCCATTATATCATTCAATGCATTGTGTGTACCAACTGTTGCGAAAGTACTCGTTCATTAGCTCGAAGTTCAGAGTTGCTGCCGCTTCTCGTACGACTGACCGTTGAGTAGGGGTAACCCAAAAACGATTACTACCAAGCAATAGTGTTTTCCATGTCGACACTCTCATAGTTGTTAAGTCCAGTCCGAAAGCCCCTTTCAGTAGTATCTTGATAACCGTGGTTTGTTTGAGTGGGCGATTTCTTAAAGTTCCCTTAATATCTAGAATAAGGAACTCCCTCGTCAGTAATGGTCCAAACTTGCCTTAACTGATAGCGAAGCCACGGATCACGTTTTCCAAGTGCGGAGAATTATAGCAACGGCTAGATGTGGATGCCTGTATGAGAAATTGCATTGATAAGCTTATAACCAGTCAATGATCCTAGGCAAGAAACACGCTCAGAACCGATCTTCTGTCTTCAAGGATTGTTCATTACTGAATTATCGTGCGGTCGTGGACGTCTGTCATGTTTATAAAGGCTCTTATTTAGGAAGTAGAACCCAGCAAATATGAACACGATGATGGTGAGAGGTGGCCACAACTTTCTCCTGTTCAACGTCGTTATTTCGCTACAGTTTGAGTTAATTTGCCCATGATTTTGAGTTTTTAAAATGTAACGATGTAGTGCAGAATGACAGTACGTTCGGAACATTGACAGAACATTTTAACTAAATGATAACATATCAGTTAGACGCATCAGATCCGGTATCCTGTATCCTGGGATACCGTAACATATCAAAACTATTATGAGCAACAGTCTTAATAACATATGAATAAGATACAAGTTATTTTGTGGCTTGCTGAACGGTGGTTCAACTCTGTATCGGTCCCTTGGCTTCTGCTCTGGTACATCAAAAGGCACGGTAACTCCACACACCCCTTTATGGAGACAAAGGAAAATTATTACAACTGTATTTATAGGGTAGTCACTGAGTGTCCCTCAAGGTCGTGCCAGAATCTCCGTGAGGGGATGAGAAGCGTCGAGTCAAAGATGGTCGACTCGGATTAGCCGGCATTCTGACCAATCAGGCATGCCTCTGTTTGGTCCGTATCCTGCACCTGACACGTCCGTCCAAATGATGTGATGTTCGGTCATTAGGGAAGACCGAACAAGTTAACACTTTCTAGAAATACACTCATTTGCTGAAAACTCTTCGACAGCCCTTTTTGGGCTCAGATTCGCTCTTCTTGGGGCTCGTCAGGTAGACGCAGTCCCCGAGTTTCCATCGACCTTATGTTCTCGGAAACAGTCCAATTTGGGTTCAAGTACAACATAAGGCTGACGGAAACTCCGGGATTGCGTCTACCTGATGAGCCCCAAGAAGGACGAAACCGGTCGTGGGCTGTCGAAGAGTTTTCAGCAAGCTTGTGGGTAGTTTCCCTCATGAAAGTTAACACTTTCTATACTCGATGAACAAACCAAATTCAATCGTGGAATTCAACGACAGGGAGCAGCAGAGTTTAGCAGTTTAGCAACGCCGACACAAGGTGTGAAATTTTTGGTCTCTGCCGCTTGAAGAGTTCTGGTACCAAGTTGGCACCTTGTTTTTGTGATAAATTATTCCGTTGGAAAACGGCGGTGTGGATGTGTATACATGTGAGAGTCTAGAATGGCTAACTGAGTTCCGAAATTAACTGTAAAATGGACTTGCGCATTCAGTAACTAGAAGGAAGAGAATCGCTTACAAGTAATTCCTTCGATGCTTTAATACTTTTATATTGTTCAAAATTACTTCGAAGCTGTACCTCAGAGTGCAGCGTACTCTCGCTTCCATAACGTGCCTAGGTAGGTTTTAAAAGCCTTTCTTTTGGCCTTCTCAAAAAACTATACCTGGTTTCCGAACCATCAGAGCACGGCATGAAAATGCACACACATTCGTTTTTCAGAGGACTTTGGTGTACGTCTAAGAATCACTTTGTTGCAACACCCAGCTGAATCCAATGGTGATGTACTCAAAAATAAATCGTGATCTCTGTCGTCCATGAAACTGCTGATAAGAATGTGACACATATATTCGGACACTGAAATACCCGTTTTCGCAAACAGCTAGGGAATGGAATGTATAAAGAAGATGACATAGAAGTCTATACTGCTTAGGGTGTCACGGCCCGAATTCCGTTTCTGCTAGCGAGACTGTTACAATGGCCAAGCTGTAGTCTTAATCTCCGTGGACTATGACGGCGCAACAAGTGTATGGAGTACAGTCATCTATCTTACCAGAAATGAGTTCCTGAATGCTGTGGAAGGGAATTGAAGAGGTGTTGGGTCAAATGCTGTGATCATTCGGTACCTGAAGAATGAGTGAGGCTATGTCTTGTCTGAGTGAAGGCTAATTACATCCACCCCTGGCCAAACGATTAAAGAGTCAACCACTGGCTGGAAGGTTGTGGATTCGTACTTTTCTGATTTGCATGGGATGCGCACTACTAATAATCCTAGTAAGGATGAAATAGCTGTACAGTGCTTTAGGGTTGTTCAGCATAAATGTGCTTCACTGAAAGAATAAAAGCTCTACGGACTGTATCGTCTATACACCTACTTAGAGTGGTAGGCAAACGTTTCGAAAGTAGCCAAAAACATTACCAACATTTTCCTGTCCAGAAGAGTCCCGGACGTGGCCCTGGAATTTGGCAGCCACTTTTTATTTTTTGCAAGTCATTTAATCAAGTTGATGTTCTCGTTAACTTTGATGTGGGTTTCGGAGTAGATATCAAAACTGCCGACGGAAAATTGCATAATCCCATCTTCATTTACTAGCCCCACGCTGTCGACCAGTTTGTTTGACCGAAAAGTCCAACAAAAAATCGGTTGTAACCGGAACTATTCTAGCTGCTTTGAAATTTTCACTTGCACAATGTCTTCAATAAGCTAGAAAAATCCCACAACTAGCGTCTATTCTTATTTTGGCAAACTCTTCAGTGCAGTCCAGTTTGTAATGGTGGTTCTCTTCAGCAGTTTGTCGAAGCGCTTGAGCCATTTCATCGTGACATTCATAGCTGGCGTTAGCTGAAGATTTTCAGTTATCGTGCTGCGAGATACACACACACTAGCTTGTATGTATCATCTATTTCTACAGCCAAGGTCGTTATTGTCGCTCAGTTTTATTCCCAGGATCCTCTCAACTGCCCCGAAGAATGTATAAGTAACCTCTGTTGTCTGCGACCTATCTACATTGTCAAACTTTGGAAGTGCATTCTTTTTGGGGCGACGGATGGTCCTTCTGTGTGCACCAAACAGGTGAGTCATTTTGAATGTTTTATCAAATCCGACGACATAGGTTTGTGCCTCCAAAGTAATGCCTACATGCTAATTTAGCGGTTGGGTTTTCTTACAACCAATGACCATTTGTTGTATTCGTCAAACGATAGTCCGTCATGTCTTTGTTGAGAGTGCGCGAAGCATTTTACAGCTATTTTATTCTTGTTGGGAATCAACAGTACGCATCTGACGAATCTTCAGAGAGATTCGAACCCACGACCTTCCTGCTAGTAGGTACTCACTCAAACGCTTGTCCACAAGCGGCCTAGTGTATCACACTCATACACATTGATTTACCTGGAACCTATGTGCTGATTAGGCGAAGGTCAAATGGAAAATAGACCGTTAGTAGCAGAAACATGCACCACTCATCACTCATGCACTGTAGTACTCATGAAAGCCGCGCCTAGGCGTCAAGCATTGGTAGCAATTAGATATACAGATAGTTGAGAGTATGGCTGCGATTGGACGTAGGCTGTAATATCACTGGAGCACCTGGTCCAGACAGGACAATTAGTTTACCCTCGGCCAAAGCCTAACCACAAAGCAGTGGTGTTTGGCGCAAGACCGTCGGAGCAGTCGACACAAGTTCTGAACCTTCTCCCTTCACAGCTCTAACCACTGTCCAACCATGTGTGAAACTCTGCGAGTGTTGCAAGTACACTATTCATAATAGCACAGACCTTCAAGCCGCAGTAAGGTCCGGTAATGCCCGAAAGCAGATGTTGCTGACAGTGACCCCTCATCTCAACAAATGAAAAGAATCTTTCACGTAGCAATAACCAGATGAGCATCCAACCCTCCATGTAAAATTGCAACCCTATGAACACACCTTGGCAACCTATGTACGGTGAATTTGATGAACTGGCTTCTGTTTCGGGGTTTTCCGGTTACCTTAAAGTAGGCCGCCCTCCCCCCCACACACACACAATGTAGGCAGTGCCACATGCGGTTCCAATAGCTGAACTTCTCATACGCGGTGTAAACCCGAAGTAATGATACCAGAGGGAGAACAAGAAGGCGACACGTTTAAAGCCCTCAGTGGGCCAACCTTTTGGTCCATAGTTTTCACAGTCACATGACTCGAAATGTATCAATCCACTGTTCATATTTTATGTAACGCGTAATTTATAGCATAGTCCTCCGTTTGTGTCCTCAACCAGCCTGTTCTCCCGAACCCAAATTAAAATAAACACCTTAGACCTTCGTTCCGTGTAACCTGTTTTTAAGCTTTCCTGTGGTACTATTTTGTCGTCAGTATTTCGGGCTGGTAGGAAGAGATTATAATCCATTGGTCGAGTTCTCTAACAACTGGCATAAATACTTACAGCCAGTCAGTGATTGGCTGATTTTATCGCTTCTGGGTGCTCTGTGACAAAGTACACATTCTGTATTAGTCAACCCGCTTCAGTACTATGCATAAGTTCGAAAGTGTCCACTTGCGTTTAATAAACAGCAGTTTGACCTACATCCCGCTACCTTATTGATGGGCCACAAACCCATCAGGAGTGACATTCTTCTGACTATTTGTCTGTTCTCTATTCTTTTTTTCACTGTGGTGGTTTGTGTTCATTGGTTTGATTTCAACCGCTTATGGCCGAACGTTTGAGAGTTCAAACTTGCAACCGGGAGGTCGCTGGTTCGAGATTCTGAAGTTTCGTCGGATCCGCACTGCTGATGATTCCCAATAAGGATGAAACACCTGTACAGTGCTTCTCGGCTTTTCAGCATAGACTGGAGTCACATACAGGACGAATGATACACCTACAGTTTGATTTCATATAAGTATAGTCCGTCACCAAAAGCTCACCTTCTGTATGCAAATAGAAGTTTTGAAATGACTTGGAAACAACTGTCCAGAAGCCTCTTTAGGAAAAGTCAGTTTGCCTGGAAACATCACAAACGGCAGATCCAGCTAGGTTCCAGGCGAGTCTCTTGAAAAACCAAATTAGTTTGTAAATTAGTGTATTTCGCTAACTTCTTGCAATTTGGTTTCGAGTTGAACTTAAGGTTGACAGAAAGTCGGGAACGGCACCTACCTGATCAGCCGAAACCGGTTAGTGGGTTCTCGACGAATTTTCAGCAACCTTATGAGTAGTGCACTACGAATAAACATNACATGTATCGCGATAGCTCGAATATCGTAGCGACTGAAACGTGAGGCGGCCTGGTGCAGCACACTCACTTGCCTGGGAACATCACAAACGAGAGATTCAGCTGGGCTTTAGGTGAGTCTCTCGAAAAACCAAATTAGTTAGCAAATGAGTGTATTTCGCTAAGAGTCAGTTTTGTACACAAAAATGTTGAAAAAAGGCTTCCAAATGAGGGCTAAATCTCATATGTGAAACGACCAACTACAATTCGAAACAGATGGGTACTGTTCATCTATACTGGCAAACCTGTTGTACAATGCCCTTCCTCTTGTTTCAATTTCACGGAAGTACAAACGATTGTCTGAAATAAGTTGCATTGTGAAACCAGGCACTACAATCGATTTTACTTGGTAAGGGTCAAAAGCCATAATCGTCTTTCCTTTCCTCTTATCGACGTTTGAAATTAGTATCGTGGGGAATACGAATGGGGAGATCTGGTTCCACTCGATTCGCTCCAGTTACCGAACCACACCGTTTTGGTATGGGACTACAGTTGTTGTCAGCTGCCATCGGTGGACACGAGGCCTAATCAATTCCAAAATACATCCCCGGAAGGTCAGTCAAGATCTACACCGCCGGATTTGTACACACCTTGCCAATGTAGCAATGAAAACGGAAATGCGAAGGTTTTCTTACAAACAGAAAATGAGCTACAATGTGACAGATCACGTCTGGAAGGGACCACCCCTATTCCACTCATGAAGAATGTATATCCACCCTCTGCATTTGTGCTGGATCGGACAAGAGATATTGTTTTCAAGACGGATGAAGCGTAGGTCACGCCATTTTCCTGTCGGTTGTGTTATTTTTGGTCTTTGTTTAGGGTGGCCTCAGTTCGGAGGGAGTTCGCACTACATGCAGCACTTCCATAATGAAAGTATTCCATTGAGAAAGGGTTACATTTGTTGCTGCGAATGATGGAGAAAACGCTCTAAAACATGAGTTCTCTTTGAAATCTCTTTTCTGCTGGACGTGCTGTCTGTTCTTCCACTTTCTGATATGAACAAACTTTTATTTTATTGATCTTCCTCAACAAGTTAAATCTAGAACACGATTCCGTACGGAAAGGGAACGGCAATTTTCCGCAGGATACTCATCTTTATAAACTGACAGTCTGTTCCATTCCACCTAAGGGTTTTAGAAAACCGGGACCATAGATTCCAATCAGGTAAAGAATGCTTGGAACGATTGAGTAGTCATCGTTTTCGAAAAAAGTTTGGTGACAGTCGGTAGGTTTATTGTTGGGAAACGTTTTGCTGTTGACACAAAATCTTCGTCGGGCCAAGTGACTGGGTTCCAAGGTTGGTCGAGATTTAATACGACGGAAGGAAAACCAATCAGCTAAGTCAAGCTCAATGTCTGTTGAATGTCGGCCGAGGGATTTTTGTGTGCTAGGGTGGTTGAACAAGTGTTGGGTCGATGGGAAAACCTACATGTGTTTGGGTCCAGCCTAGGGTCTAGTTCCTCTAGTTCGGTTGATGGTCCCTCTTGAACGTCGTTTGAACCTTCTGTCCGTCTGTGTGGAATGAGCTAGTGCTAAGATAGTTGTGTAAGAGGGATGCTATGGCCTTTGGTCGAGTTGGGATTTCCACCTCCACCTTCCAGTTTTTGCTAGTAGTGCTACGTGGATTGACAACCACACAGTCGCGTGTCAACTCGGCTTATCTAAGACCTCTTTCCATACGCTCGCCAGTTCCACACCCTCGATTTTATCCACGCTGTGATGCTTAGTGATTTCCACCGCCTCGGCTATCAGCCGTTGTGGTGTGAATCGCAGTCCCCGTCTTAAGACTTCCACATTCTCCAGATCTATTCTATGTCCCTTGTCTAAGGCACGTACCGCCATCGCTGAGTCTTTGACCAGCGTCTGGTATTCTTTTTCCTTGGTGGTTTGTTAATCCTTCTTTTGTGCTCACCAATTCTGGTGTGCAATTCCCTGGTAGTTTGTCCTGTATAAACCTTAGCACAATCGTTGCAGTTAATTTTGTACATACAGTCCCTAGTCCTTTCAGCCGGCAGGGGATATTTCAATTGCACCAAAACTGAGAGTAGCGTTCTTCCCTTCTGAAAAGCTACTCGAATGTCGGCTAAGTTCAACAATCTTCGAATAACCTCCGATGTTCCTGCTTTATATGGAATGACTGCTGTGCCAATCCATTCCTTACTGGGAGTAGATGGAGCGAGCAATATCTTAGTTGACGCTTGAACAAACTTATTGGGTATCCTTTTTCTTGAAATCTGTTGGCAATCTCGATTTGAGCGTTCGGTCGAACTGGGTCTAGATGCTGGAGCCAATATCTTAGTTGACGCTTGAACAAACTTATTGGGTATCCTTTTTCTTGAAATCTGTTGGCAATCTCGATTTGAGCTGCCGTTCGGTCGATATCTTCTGTGAACAGCGCCCTGACACACGTAGGTTCTTCCATCGACCCAACACTTGTTCAGCCACCCTAACACACAAAGAATCCCTTGGCCGACATTCAACAGACATTTAGCTTGATTTAGCTGATTGGTTTTCCTTCCGTCGTATTAAATCTCGACCAACCTTGGAACCTGGTCACTTGGCCTGACGAAGCTTTTGTGTCAACAGCGAAACGTTGCCCAGCAATAAATCTACCGATTGTTACCAAACTTTTTCGAAAACCAGAAGGTCCGCTTTTCTAATGAGGACCACCGTACATCCTGCCGCCAGTTTCCACCAAAAGTATTGTGGCGGCGAATGTTTCATTTGAGTGTGAATGAAAAGAGCAACTTTCTTTGCAGGGACTCGAGGTTGAGGATAAAAGCTAAGCGACATGCAACCGATCTATGTACATTAATTGGATGAGCCCGTTCAGGACAAGACTCGTTCTGGATTGTTTTTTTTTTGAAAGATCACATCCCGTATTCGCAAATGGTATTTCTAATCCAATTGTCATGGCCTTACTGCTTATTAGTACCTTTACTACGGTCGTTCAACTGATTGCCCTTAAGTAGTCAAATTTGCTTGCAAAATTCAGCATAGTAATTCGGCGGAGTAAATAAAACATTATATACTGCTGTTGGTATGAGAACGCTTTAAAGTTCTAATGGAGATTTCGTTCTGTAAGTGAAACCAATTTGTGATGACTTTTGGGCTGGCAACAGAGAGGTTATGGATTTCAAATAACCTCATGTTTTGTGGAATACAGAACGCTGTGGATTCCTAATAGGGATAAAACTGATCTGGAAGGGTTCTCTGCTTTTCAGCATACATTGACCTCACGTACGCAAGTTTCATTCTCGACCTCTCTGAGTTCCAGTTTGTGACCTGTATTGATCTGATTCCAAAAAGGTTTCTTTCCTCACGTTTTATCAATCCGACATTCAGCTCTCTTTGAGTATTTCGGTTAAGATGTTGGTCCTTTGAACGTAGTGATGCATTAATTGGGTCTTGTTCAATGCATCGGTTGATTAAATCAACTGCGGCGTACCATGCTTCTAGAGATTCTCTTCTGTGTCTCCGTATGCCAACAGCTTGACTTTTTTTCAGATTAAATTTGTGGCCTTGGTCTTTGTATATAGATAAAACAAGGATAGCGGGTCATGTCTCCTAGCAATGTTGTGTTCTTTCATTGGTGTGCATAATTCCCCTTCCCAGTTTGTCCAACGTAGAGCTTGTCGCAAATGTTTCAAACCGAATGCCACTTTATGGAAATTGATCGCAAAACCGAAAGACAACCAAGAAAAAACTAAGAGGAGCAAAATGCAATAGACAAGGGTATCCTCGATGCGCGCCTTGTTGTGCGACAATTCACATGCAGTTGATGTGAGATGTACATTGGCAGGACATACAGCAAGTTATGCAAACACGTCCCGGAACATGTACCTTGTTGTTTGAGCCAGGTGATCAACCAATGGCCTGCAAGCAGAGATTCGGGAACCTGTCTCATCGATCACTAAATACGTTCCATCTACTTTAAACAAATCGACCCTTTATACATCGTAATGTAAACTCGAAATTTTTAGCCTTCAGTGGGCCATATTGATTGATCAATACCAACCCAAGTTGTAAAAGCAAGGGCCATCAGCTTGTTTTTGACCTAAGAAACGAACCCGATTTATTTACGATGAGAGCGGATCCTCTGCACCGTTTTACTTCTATTCATTCCTAGTTATCATGTCATAATTGGTGGTTTTTGGTACTCCGGCTGAAACGGAGTGTCGACGTTCCGCAATCTTTTTTCCTCAGTGTTTTATTCAAATAGACAGGAACTTCGGCGAGTATTTTCAGTATGACGTTTAACCTATTCACAATCTATGTAACCGCTGCGCTTGCAGTTGGCTGTCAACCAAAACGGGTTTCCCGGACTGTGTCAGTATGCACGTTGAGAACTGCATGGTCCGGCAACGAACAATGGATCGCGGAGCGAAGCTTATTCAAGCTGCTTTCGTTCACAGACTCTCATCTGTGCTGGTTTAGCCTGTCTCAACTTCGAGTCGCCTGATTTATAAATCACGAAAGAAAGGATCAAAACGTTTAAAGTAGAAATGAAGTGAACTAAGTTCGAGGGTCAGGATATTCACATTTTTGTCTAACACTTTTGAAAGGAGATTTTCAAAAGCGATTTTTTCCTCTTGACCATAATAATTCTTGTTAGTCGGTTAGTTAGTTTAAACTCTTCGTTTTTATTCTCTTCTGTACTTTACTATCAAGATTACAATCTTTACGTTAGTAGAAACACAGAACTTACTGAACTTTTGATTGAAATCTGAGATTTCTCGCAATAGGAGTTCAAGACAGTTTAGGTTCTTAAACACGGAACCTTAATAGTAGTTGCGTCAACGTAACCAGGTTGTGCCCAAATGTTTGGTTGATATGTCTGTGTTCTCGTAGCATATCGTGTTCTTTCAACCGATGACTCCCTGTTTGAAGGGCTGAAAGTTCTATCAAACGCACCAGCAGTAAAATTAATCTTCGATGTTTTTCTCAGAAGAGTTCCAGACAGTTCTATCCACCAACCCTCTTCCGTAAGTTTTTCGTTTCTCCCTTACCCCACCCACCTCTGCAACGGCATCTCTGGTTATCCAACACTTCCTTCCACAATTGCGTTTACGATGAAATAGCCCATAAACTTTCGATCTCGTTCATAAGTCGCACAGTGAGTTTTATTCAACCGATAAATGCCTAACGCAATCACCGCTGTACTTATCCACCTTTCCCTCTGTCATAGGATGACATCACAATCAGGAACAAGTATCCCCTTGGAAAAGTATTACCAAAAAGGCGAATACATCGGACGGACGTGGCTTCCTGTGATCACTCCCTTCTACATCGGAATGGTGTTGTGGGGAGGGCCGATAAGCCAGCTGCACAACTGTTCCGTTTTGAATTGCAGAGTTCATGTTGACTACGACTTTGGACTCAGTGAGGATGACGTCGACATACAGAGTTCTCCAGAAACAAATAGAATACCCCTAACTCCCGAAGAAGACTCGATCGAGATTGTAAACCCGGACCAATGGTATCAGCCAACGTGTACCAAACAAAAAGAATACGACCGGTTCAATTTAACTACCCCCATTCCGTTTGTTGTTTTGCACGATACAGCTCCGGGGTATTCGTATGCATACGTTCCAAGGGGACGGTGTTTCACCCGGACAACATGTGAGCATATTCTCCGATCTATTTCGCTCTACTACATGTCAATAGGTGATTTGGGGACTCCATTTAACTACATAATCAGCCATGATGGGACAATCTATCAGGGCCGAGGTGCGGAATTTGTGGGAGCTCACACACTTGGTTTCAATGACGTATCGTTTGGCATCGCATTCATCGGATGGTACCCATTCAGTGTACCTTCTTCCAAAGCGATTCAAGCATTTTGGCGTTTAATCAAATGGCTACAAACAATCGGACGATTATCGAAAAAATTCTACCTGTACGGTCATCGGGACTTACGCTCAGGTGAGAGTCCTGGATTGGCTTTGAGCCACCTATTACACACCTGGCCTGGAACAGCCGAAAGAGACGAATATGACAAGGCGAACGAACTGTGCAGAAATCCATCTGGAATACCAGAAAAAACGTTAGAATTCCTCATCACTGGGCTCGTTGCCGGTTTGATTGTGGCAGCTGTTATAGTTTTCCTCAACCTCTATCACAAAAGGAAGCAGAACATTGTGATGCATACAGAAGACTGCCAGCGGCTATCCGAAGTCTGCCGCCGATTGGAAACTTTACATGTTTTGTACATAACTGGCGAAAAACCAAAGGGCAGTGAAATCACAGAACTGTATTGCGATTCTAGTGTCTACGACACTGACAAACAACACGTTTTATCCAATTCACAATCATATGGCTCTTTTGAGACCGTCCGTTCAACCAACTTGTTTGACTGTGATGAACCATCTGTATATGAACATGCTGGAAGGAAAGAAAACTTAGACATCAATGCCCCACGGTCACATGACAAACTGTTCGGTCGTCCGCTGTGCGTCATCGATCCACGGCAATGGCCCGAAGAGTACTGCATCCCAGTCAAAGCTAGTCTCATTTTCGTCATAGCACGTGACCTACAGAGGCCAGAACTAAGCAGACAGATGGACCAGTTAACTATTTTCTGCCAAACATGGAAAGAAATTCTGATCAAACACAACATTCTGCCTCGACTGTTCTCAGCAAGTTTGCATGCACTTGTTGAGCAGTTGGGTTTAAGTCGTTCAGCGCCGTCCGTACACCTTACCCTTCTCATTAAATTGCCCACTTACGTTCTTCTGGCCTATTCCAAAACAACCATGGAAAAAGAAAGTGAATTTTTCACCACTGTATTGTCCGACACCTCTGCAGTAACCACATTAAACTCCGCTCCAACACACTGTCTTATTGGTTCGAGCAACCTGTGTCAAAAATGTGAGTTGTGTCGCCCACTTGCTCCCTTCCGCTTGAATTCAACACAGAAACCAAGCACACACGACTTTGTGCAGATTGAAGAATGGGCTTCATTCAATCAAAAACAAAGGGTTCACACAAAGCTGTTAGAACCTTACGAAGGTGGAGTGGCTGAGTTCCACGACTATCGGGCAGTTCGACACAGCGAGTGCTTGAGAGAAATCAGGAGGAAACCTCGTGCAACATGAAGACATATTTATCACTTTCGGGTAAAATGTCCGAAAATTTGTTGGTTCACCACAACGCTTTATCTCTTTACTCATGTGTCTCGCGGATTTTTTTACTCAAATGTAATGTCATCGCCATTGGCTGGCTTAAAAATTTGATGCTTGCCTCATTTCTGAAAAGAAAGCAAGTCGCTTCCTGATTGTTTGCTTATAGTCTTGAGGGAATCAAACCCAAATAGCCTTCTTTGCTGTGATCTTTTACAAGCAAGCCAAATAATTTAGTAATGATTTCATAAATAGATGGCAGCAATCATGAATTGCTACTAAATAGTCTTCTGAAAAATTCAGCTTAACTACTCCGTTTTCGTACGTTCATTTCAACGTAATCTGCTAGCAAGCGACTTGTGATCAGATCCCCACCGTCTCAACCCAGCAAGCAAAAGATAGCAATTTTCTTAGACCAACCATGTGAACAACGTCAGAAGTTGGTTGACAAACTTGGAAGAGCATTCATTCTTTTGAACCAAATAAGTCACTGGCCATAATGTGCTCAAAATTGTATGGCACTCAGAAAGCAGCATTACAGACACGGAGTTGGGAGTTCAATTTTCACTAGATGGTTTAAGGAAACATTGTCGCCCCTACCCGTCTTTTGGTCATATTGATGCTTATATGGTTAAGCCCTCTAAAAAAACTCATGTTACTCGGATCAAACGGCCTAATCAGTTATGATTCATAAGAAACAGACCACGTTGTAATCAACGCTCGGATTTCCCAAGTTGACATGGCTTGATCAATTCACTACACCTCCGTTGTAGCACATTTTCTCTCTTCACCACTAGCTTAGACGGATGTGAACGTGACGTCAGCCATCTCACTTAGTTTTAAACATAAATTTCAAGTGTCCTGGATGGCATCGAAGTACCTAATAATAGGCTCATCCCAGGTGGTTGGTTATTCCACTTAAATCCATGGCTACTCATATAAAATTAAGTAACTTAACTGTTGTGACAAATTCGGAGGGATGCGCGAGCTTTCATGAAAACGCCAATATCGTACCAAATGAAACGACACATTGTTCTCGAAAAAGTTTGGTGACAATCGGTAGATTTATTTCTGGGCAACGTTTCGCTTTTGACACAAAAGCTTCGTCAGGCCAAGCGACTAGGTTCCGAGGTTGATCGAGATTTAAGGCGGAAGGAGAACCAATCAGCTAAGTCAAGCTGAGGGCCGAGGGATTTTTAGTGTGTTAGAGTGGTTCAACAAGTGTTGGGTCAGTGGGGGAACCTACATGTGTTTGGGTCCTGCCTAGGGTCTAGTTCTTCTGGTTCGGTTCATTTGATGGTTCCTCTTGAACTTCGTTTGAACCTTCTGTTAGTCTGCGTGGGGGAGCTAGTGCTAAGAAAGTTGTGTAGGAGGGATGCTGTGACCTTTGGTCGGTTGGGGTTTCCACCCCTCCCCTTGGGATTCACTACAGCCCCTCGTCAATACCAGCTTAATTTGTAAATTACCGTATTTTCCAAGCTGCATGCCACATGCTATTCAAGTAGAAATGATCAAGTATGGTCAAGTGGAAGAACTTCCAACAACCTTACAAGTAGTGTACAATGTCAAGTAAAGCAAAAATAGTTTTGCGGATGATTCACAAAATACCAAATGTAGTGCTGTTTGTTGTTGGACAGCAAAGAATTCATGAGATAGCGCGTCTCGTTCAAGTGTTTTGGCAACGGCTGTGTAGAAAAGTAACGGTCAAACTGACCGAGTTATCCGGTCTGTGTCAATCGGTCTGGAGTTACCTCGTAAATGACTGGCCTCAATATGATGCTAAAATTATGACTACCCTACCATGTATACTGACGATAAAAATGCTCGCCAAATTGTTGTACCACGCAATAACCGCCTTCATAGTTGCCCACCACATTGTTTACACCACTCGGTTCAGGAAGCAGCAATTTTCCGTGCAAATGATGAGTCACAAGGTTCAGCAAATTACAACAGCATTCAATTTACTTTACTGGATATTTTCATGACGGTTTCGTAGGGGGATCCGACACTAGCTATGTTTCCGAGATATTCGCTGTCAAAGATGTCTCTGAGAGCCGTAAACCAGGAAGAAAAGTACTCCCCAGGACAGGACCCGATAACTAGGTCCTGCTACGCTAGAAAGTGCACAGTAGCCCTCCATATCAGTGATGACCCTAAGAGAGTCACCTCCAAAAAAAGCCAAATGCTGTCTCGTCCAATAAAGCCCTCGATGAAGGCATCTTACCGTTCAATCACTTTTGTAAACGTCCGTGAGATTACGATTGAAACACTTAAAATCCCCCAGACTATCCGATCGGCGCTTATCCGTGCTAGAACAAAATAACGGGTGGTTTTTGTTGTTTCCTTGACAATGCGGCGCATTTGAGCTGATTCAATATCACGGCAGGGTCGTTCGTCTAACTTACCAAATCAAGTCGTGAAAAGAACACACAGGATTAATAAAAATCGTATAAACTCTCGAATTGTCTGAAATATTGATAAAAAGCAAACTGAATGAATGGGAATAGAACAATCTCAGTGTTTCTTTTCCAAAAAAATGCAGATGCTGTGAAATTTCAGGGCGTGGATCAGTGTAAGTGGATTGGTGTAGAGGAGGAGGAGGAGCTCCACGACGGCTCCTCGTCCAAAGCGGTTTCCAGTTTATTGTATACAGATGGATCGTCACTGACAATCACCTCCTCGTCTTCGGCTGGATTGGAGTAAGGGCAAATGGTACGCGCAACAATGCAACTCATCCACATAGGTGGATTACCTGAGGCCCCATTTGTTTGGAACGAGGCCAAAGAGCCATGTACACACATACGATCGCCTTTGGTCATATTGCGCACGGTAAGGAAGAGATTGTCATCAAAAACGTGAACTCTGTAATTTTCGAGGGGAAAAAAGACGGGATTAGTCCTGAGTGTGGGCAGGACTGCAGCATCACCAATCAGTGAGCAATACCGTCGGGTAACTCAGAAAGACTGGTCTTTGTCTTTTTTTACTATTCCTCCCGGTTCGTCGCTTAAGACTTACTGAAAAGGTACATTCGCTAGCCCCTTGGATGTCCTAACGTTTTTTCCCAGTAACGCTAACCGAACTTGAAGAGGACCCAACATCACCGTACCAGTGCTGAGTCATCATCAGCTGTAGGAATCGCGTACCTGTCGTACAGTTTCGTTCACCAATGATTTGGGAAAATGGGGGAGGTAGCTACGCAGTGGAGGAAGAAACTGATATAATTGATGCATAGATACACGATTGTCAGTAGACTTTTAAGTGGGGAGGTTGGGAAGGAAGCTATGCATTGAAGGCAATAGCTTGAATGCAACAGCGCCATTGAGAGCGCGACTGGGACATGTCTGACAATGTCACTAAACATAGATGTGACCCGTCTCGGAGTCCCCCAGTTCTGAGTACTAAGCTAACCGAAATATAAAATACAACAACGAGTACTCACATGCTAGTAGTAGTAAGCGGTCAAAGACCGTGCTAATACATATAACATCATATAGCATATCTAGTTTTCGTGACCTGATGACATGATAGTATGATTCCCCCAAAAAATAGTTTGGCACGCAACCAATAGCCAAGCCGACGTACAACAGTTGACAATTGACCGAGTGATACCGGACTGCAATCGATTTACAACGTAGTGCAAAAGTGATTGACGATTACACTGCACGAACTGATAGGGGGAGCATATTCACGCATATATTCATACGTGCGTGCGTGCGTGAGTGAGTGAGTGAGTGAGAGAGTGAGTGAGTGAGTGAGTGCGTGAGTGAGTGAGTGAGTGAGAGAGTGAGTGAGTGAGTGAGTGCGTGAGTGAGTGAGTGAGTGAGAGAGTGAGTGAGTGAGTGAGTGCGTGAGTGAGTGAGTGAGTGAGAGAGTGAGTGAGTGAGTGAGTGCGTGAGTGAGTGAGTGAGTGAGAGAGTGAGTGAGTGAGTGAGTGCGTGAGTGAGTGAGTGAGTGAGAGAGTGAGTGAGTGAGTGAGTGCGTGAGTGAGTGAGTGAGTGAGAGAGTGAGTGAGTGAGTGAGTGCGTGAGTGAGTGAGTGAGTGAGAGAGTGAGTGAGTGAGTGAGTGCGTGAGTGAGTGAGTGAGTGAGAGAGTGAGTGAGTGAGTGAGTGCGTGAGTGAGTGAGTGAGTGAGAGAGTGAGTGAGTGAGTGAGTGCGTGAGTGAGTGAGTGAGTGAGAGAGTGAGTGAGTGAGTGAGTGCGTGAGTGAGTGAGTGAGTGAGAGAGTGAGTGAGTGAGTGAGTGCGTGAGTGAGTGAGTGAGTGAGAGAGTGAGTGAGTGAGTGAGTGCGTGAGTGAGTGAGTGAGTGAGAGAGTGAGTGAGTGAGTGAGTGCGTGAGTGAGTGAGTGAGTGAGAGAGTGAGTGAGTGAGTGAGTGCGTGAGTGAGTGAGTGAGTGAGAGAGTGAGTGAGTGAGTGAGTGCGTGAGTGAGTGAGTGAGTGAGAGAGTGAGTGAGTGAGTGAGTGCGTGAGTGAGTGAGTGAGTGAGAGAGTGAGTGAGTGAGTGAGTGCGTGAGTGAGTGAGTGAGTGAGAGAGTGAGTGAGTGAGTGAGTGCGTGAGTGAGTGAGTGAGTGAGAGAGTGAGTGAGTGAGTGAGTGCGTGAGTGAGTGAGTGAGTGAGAGAGTGAGTGAGTGAGTGAGTGCGTGAGTGAGTGAGTGAGTGAGAGAGTGAGTGAGTGAGTGAGTGCGTGAGTGAGTGAGTGAGTGAGAGAGTGAGTGAGTGAGTGAGTGCGTGAGTGAGTGAGTGAGTGAGAGAGTGAGTGAGTGAGTGAGTGCGTGAGTGAGTGAGTGAGTGAGAGAGTGAGTGAGTGAGTGAGTGCGTGAGTGAGTGAGTGAGTGAGAGAGTGAGTGAGTGAGTGAGTGCGTGAGTGAGTGAGTGAGTGAGTAAGTGAGCGAGCGAGTGAGTGCATGTAAGGGACAAGAAAACGGTAACCAAACAAGAAGAACAAGAAGAACAAGTGGTAACCAAGAAGGGTTATGGAACAAATAAACCAAGAGCAGAGAAGACTGACGTCAGACTTAAGCAGACTTAGCGCAACAGTAAAACAGTGTTCGATGTTGCTGTCAACGAACACAAACTCGATTGAGTGACTACTTGGACGATCCATCCGAACAACAAACAGCGCAATGGAATCCTGACAACTGAGAAACTAACGGGTACTGTAATCGGTAACTGAGAGGATGCAATACAACAGGAACCAGATAGTGGATCTATGGGGAAAAAACATGGCGGAATGAA